CACCTCTGTCCATGTTACAGATGGTGTAGGACTCCCAGAAACATCACATGTTAAAGTCCTGTTTTCACCTTCTGTAATGGTGATATTCTCCAGTGAAGAAACAACTGCTGGGACTGTATAAAACAAATTAAAATTATAACAAATAACTGTAATTAAACTACAGCTGAAGTTATTTCTGGCAGCTGTACATGTAGCCTGTCTCATGCACTGAGTTGGTAATTATTTTCCTAGAAAGAGCTTTCCAAGCTATATCTTGAGATGTAGGTGATTACAGGTGTGGGTTAGAAAATTTCTGGAAGCCACATTAGGTTAACTTGAACAAAGAGGGAGGGAATGGCGGAATGTGTGAGGTGAGAGGTAAGAGGTTAGCACATAGGATGAAAAGCTTCAAAAACTGAACTACATGTAAGGTACATGTAGGCAAACAGTCAAATATGTCAACTACCTGTATGCTTGTTAGCTAAGTTTCAACAGACATTGCAAGATGAGCCCAGCAAAGAGATGCAAAAATAGGGAGAAGAGCCTGCGTGTGAAGGATTTACTTAAAGAAGATATCAATCTCTTGATTACTGTAAATTGCAATTACTGTTTGGAAAGAAGGTTACCTGCACGTGTATATGGTCAGAAAAACAAAAGTCAGGGCCACAAAGAGGTTATCTTTGGAGATCACATACTTATCTAAGGGTCAGCTCCCAGCTCCCCTCACTACAGCTTAATTAGAATTAAATCTCAGCAGGCTTCAAGTGTATGAAAGGGCTAGAATAGGGTCTTAATCATTGATAGGCTATACATGTACATGTACTATGTAACTTGCATTTGCCTATAGTGTATGCTTCATTTGTTCCCTCCTGTAGACAAATAATTTTTCCTTGAAGCTACATGTAAAGAGAGTCAACTTGAAAATAATCTATCAATTTTTTAACTGTATAAAACAATTAAGTAAAAAAGGAAATACCAATTACCATTGACGGTAACTGTAACATTCTTGTCACTTGTGCCTACAGTGTTGTTCGCCACACATCTGTAGGTGAAGTTTCCTTCAGCTGACATTGTTCTCTTCCATACTCCAGCTGTGTCACTATCAGGCACTGGTATATCATTCTCAAACAGTTGATAAGTATGAACGCTAGGTTTACCATCAGCTGAGCAGGTGATATTGATGATATCACCCTTACAGATGTTTGAGTCATTTACCATTAACATGACATTCTCTGGTTTGTCTAAAACAAAAGGGGAAAAGGTTTACAACTTACATTGCAACATTAATAAAATTTATTGATCAATCATCACAACTAGTATGCATTTAAAAACACTTGGACTTGTGACATAGAGGATAGTACATGGCCGCCTGGAGATACAAAATTTCTCTTTGAGTGTTGAAAAAAATTTTTTTTCAGTGAATGCAGCGAACAAGTGAAATATTTTTCAACACGAGAAGAAAAATTTTGTATCTCCAAGTGGCCATGTAATGTTCTATTTATTATATAATCACCAATGAAACAACAAACCATTCAACTTTCGCTGCGAAAGGTGCGATTTATTATGTACCATAGCAACAGTGATCTTTTCACATGTGAAGATAACATGTTATTTTCATGTGTGAAGATATCATGTTTTCGTGTAAAAGCTCACCTGGCATTTCACTGGTGTTCATATAATAAAGATCTTTATCACATACATGTACATGTACATGTAAGTCACAAAAAGTAACAAGACATTTTTAAAAAGCTGCCAGTTACTGTAAATGTACATGTAAATCTGGACCACTTTCGATCTGATCATCAAACTAAAGAACACTTGAAATGTCATGTTTCTATACTTGTACAACACTTGTAACCCCAATGTGTGTTAAAAATACATGTATGCTATTGGTCAGGATTTCATTATCAATCCAGGCACCATTCATAAAGGTTATTTCACAGGCAAAATAGTCATATTTACTTTAAAAAAAAAAACAACATAATTTCATTTTCTCTTCATGTTGGTTCTGAACAAAGGACTGACCAAGATAACACCACTGTTGAACTGCTGGGACAAAAAAGTATTAATTATTAAGTAATAAAATTCATTCACCCAATCCATGAACATTTTCATCTTGAACAAATTAACAAATTACCGTAAAATGATAATAGAGAGTGTTGCATGTGAGTAACATGATATGTACTGCACAGTGTTATGACTACGCACATTCACACCATCCTCATGTACATCCATACTGCTGATCTATATGTCTAGATAATAGACAGTATACTTAACAATATAAATTACTTACAATTAACATCCACAGCAATAGTGCGGTTGGGTGCAGTTCCTATCCCATTGAACGCAGTACAGCGATATGTCCCAATGGAACTTCTGTTGTTGTAAAGTACAAACTGCTCTCCGGTAAACAGCACATTGCTGTCACTGCCATTATTAAGCACTCTGGTCCACGTGATGTTTGGTGGAGGTTCACCAATTGCAATACACTCTAATGTAATACTGGGACCACCTTCAACAACATCTTGATCATCACTGGTACTGGTGAATTCT